GCCCTGGTGAGCGGGACAGGCCCGTGCAGGCCCGTAATCACAGATCACTGCCCATGCTCTCTCTCTCTCTTTTTCTCTCTCTCTGTCTCTGCCCCAGCCCCCTATGCTTTTGTGCAGGCGAGAAACTGCCCTCCAGGTCACTGACACATGCTGCAGGGCTCTCTCTCTCTCTCTCTCTCTCTCTCTCTCTCTCTCTCTCTCTCTCTCTCTCTCCATGCGCAAAAGCGCTTCTGACAGCCAAGAAAATGGTGCGGCCAAGAAAGTGGAAAAATACGAAAGCCACTCACCAAAGTCTAGCTGCACTAACATGGTCACCGAGACAAAAAAGAAAGGGGTTGTAGCGGAAGATTCATTCACATTTTGCACATTTGCTGAGGAGTGGAGCAAGGGCCCAAGTAGGGGAACGGAATGAAACTCAACCCAGAACATGGAAAGGTACGTCCCTACTTTACTTTTACCTTTTTGCCAAGGCTCTGAGGCCCCCAGCCATGGTCCAGAACTGTATACTCATCCTGGACCCGACCCCCTTGTGCTGGCAAAGTTGGTCTCATTCACTCGAACATAACACATATGCATTGTAAAGGAATACAACGCACGGTATGCGTTGCATTCATTTACACCGCATATGTGTTCAAGTTATGTTCGGGGGAAGACGGTAGGGGTGGTGATATGAGCATCCACTCCTAGTAGGACCTTTGTCGGCTGCTCCATCTATTGATGGGGAGCGGCAGCTGCTGGGAATCGGGCCCAGCGTCCCTTGACAGTTTGTTTTCCATGTGTTGCAGTGGCCGTCTTTGTGTGGGGAAGGTTGCCTCCCATTCCTCCACTCTTGACCCAAAAGAGACAGAACAAGACAGATGTCTCACATGACAACGCCTTCACTCTGTATTGTTGAACCCCTATACTATTTGGCCCCTTTATCCTAAAGCCCTTTGCGTGTGATGTTTGTGCCTCTGGTAGCCCCTGACCCCCCTGAAGACCCCTGTGTCTAGTCTTTGCTTCTCGAAAGCCCCTTGAACCCTCTGCGATGTCCTTCCTTCCTGTCCGGCCGCGACCACCATGCCGTTTTTGAGTGTTTGATGGCGATGCTTAATGTCAGCCACTGTGGCAACAGTTGTGCTGAGAATGCTCAAGCTAGGCCTTCAATGTGATCACCCACCTAAGCCACCTTATCACTACCATTAATGTCCTCGCTGTGTCAATGGGACCCCTTAGGGCATACTCACACTAGGACTTCTCTAAATGAATCTGACTGCAGTTACGGCCAGACCTGATGAATCTGGTCACAATCGCGTCCTGAGCTTTGTAGAAAAGGTCCTTAGGCTAGTGTGAGTATGCCCCGAGTCTTATTTTATCCACCCTCCTTTTGTCTTCCTTCCATCCCTCTTCAATCTTTGTCTCCTCTCCCTTTTCTCTGCCTCTTTTTTCCTTTTTTTTGAAAAAGGGCGATGGTCTTGGGATTATGGGATATCTTCATTGATAGGACCGCCCCTAGGCAATTCAGAATGATTTATTCAATTCATCAACGTCCAACAGGATTTGAACTCAGGTCTGTATTTCAAAGGTTCATGGGTGTACCAACTGAGCTCGGCTCGTTGGTAGTCTGCCTCTTTTTCATAGCATGCAAGTGCTCCATTATGGCACACTGGGATGTTGGCAGCTCATGCTCAACTACATGGTGAGCCTTGTACGTGAGAGGCACAATAAAAGGGGAGCTAAAGAAAAAATAAAATAGCAAGAAGGAGAAAAGCAGAAGTAAGGAAAGAGAAGAAAGAGCTGCACAGGAAAAGGCAAAATAATGGTTTCGGTGTGCCTCGTGTCGTATTCTTTTTGTTTCGCAAAGTGCCTTCTTTGAGTCGCAAAGTGCCTTCTTTGAGTCGATAAATATGTGACAATATATATAAATACCATACTTGCAAGCGCACGTCGTGCGGGTGGTTCCCTACGTGCGGCGCACGCGCCCAACGGGTCCTGTGCGCAGTGTGCGGTGCACGACGTGTGCAGGGAATGACCTGTCACCCCCCTCAGGAAAAAAAAAAAAAGGCCAGGGTCGAAACGGTGTGCTTGAGGCCCCCCGCCAAAATTATAAGCGAGATGAAAAAAAAAATTACAGGAGTACTGCCTCACCTTGCTCCTCCCCTTCCTCATCCTCCATGTCTCCTCCTCCCTTCCCCGCCTGCCCTTCCTCGTTTCCCTCCGTCTATCTCTTCTCCTCCCCCATCTCGACTCCTCCTCGTCGTCCTCCTCGCCCACATCCTCCTCCTCCTCTCCATATCCCCCTCTCCTCGCCATATCCCCATCTTCCTGTCATACGCCCCCGTTCCCCCTCCCCAAAAAAGATAAAATAATAATAATAAAAGTAAAAAAACTGCACGATTCCGCACAGGCATCCCCCGCACGGAACTCTGCACGGAACTCCGCACGAATGTGCGGCTCGTGCGATTGCAAGTATGATAAATACTAATATATATATCGGTGAAACTCCGACGAAACAGTTTGTCACAGTCTGCCTTGATTTTCTTCACAGGTGGCTTGAGGGCAGTGGTTGGTGCCCACCTCAAGGTATCAGTTGTTGGGCAATTGTTGATGTTTAACCACAACTGGGGTGAAGGTAGATTATCACTTACTGTAAGGTGAAATCAGTTAGGGGACTCTGCAGCTGTAGAGGGTTCAGCCTCCTGATGAGTCAGTGAAACTCTGACGAAACTATTTGTCGCAGCCCCTCGTTTGTTGTCCTCTTCTCCCTCTCTGCCTACGGTTCAACAGGCAGTTCTCTTTGACCATATAACTCTGACGAAACTATTTGTCACAGCCCCTCTTTTGTTGTCCTCTTCTCCCTCTGCCTACGGTTTACCTGGCAGTTCTGTTTGACGAGAGAGAGAGAGAGAGAGAGAGAGAGAGAGAGAGAGAGAGAGAGAGAGAGAGAGAGAGAGAGAGAGAGAGAGAGAGAGTTTTCCATCGATAGGATG